AATGCCTATATACTGGCCATGAGCGACCTCCCTCCTCGTCAACATATGGAAGTCTTGGAATGATTTGTGTACCGCAATAACTGCTTCGCCTAATAGCTAAGTGGTGCTCTTTGGAACAAAAAGCTAAAAGGCTATAGTCTCCATATGAAACAATAAAGAAATAGGTAAATTGACCAAGCTGAGGTAAATGATCAAAATGAAAGAAAAGTAGAGTTTCCCAGAAACAAACAACCTGTTTGAAAGTGTAGAAAAAGACTGCATTGTGGTGAATCTTTTATAGTTCTAAAATGTTTAATGAATAGAACTGACGTGTGTTTGATATGCCATTTTTCCTTCACTTTGGTGGATAAAGAAAACAGTACTTACTGCAAAACTTGTAACCAAAATTCACATTTATATTGCTACATGACTGATGGATACTCGACATGCATGGACAATTGATTAGTCTTTTAACTTTTGATTAAATGGTATTTTTTCTTTAGAGTTACGTCAACATACTTTTATTAATAAAATCAATTTTAAAATAAATTATTGTTTTTTGCATCCTACATTAAGGTGCTGTAACAGCAAATATCCAATTATATTTCAGAATTGTAATGGCAAATAGCCACACTGTTTTTTGCCTCATCATCTGGCTAATCATTCATTTTCATCACAAGTTCACAATAGGATACTATTATGGATTTACCAAAACAATGATGAAAATGGAAGAACAACCTTCTCAGTATCTATAAAATGGAAAATGTTCAAAACTAAAAAAATAATAAATATATAGGAAAGTAGCAGATGTATGAAGTTAATTTTTTTGTATTAAAAAATAATTTATAATTGTAACAATTGTAAATTAAAAATGATTTACAATTTTCCAAATATCTGTAATTTAGTATTCAAATGTTAATACAATAATAACTAAATATCAATATCATATCAAATATGTATTGATGCAGATAATCATTAATGTAAATATTCATGTAAAGAGAAAAATCTTTAAAAAAATCTTGAAATTTCAAATATGTGTGTATATATAGTATATAAAATTCAAAAGCATGACTTATGTACAATAATTAAAAGTCATGTTAGCTGATTACAGTAATTATTAAATTAGATCTTATATGGTTAATTTTACAGGAAGTTTAATCAAATTAATACTAAGATATATATGTTAATAATAATCTGATTAAGGATCACGAAATTGTAGTTTTCTTTACAATAATTTTATATAATATTATGTAATAATACACAATACAATTATACAAGGTTATGAAATTTGTGAATTTATGCATTATTTTATTTTATCTGATATCCATCAATGTTTTTTTTCTTGATGAAACAATTGGAAGACAAATCAGAAATTATAGTTTAGAAAAAGCTGAATTAATAAATTTCAGATGTATTCATAAAGTATATTTTTTTTTAAAGCAAACTTAATCATGCAAAATGACAAAAATTAATTGAATAATATTAAAATACATTATTTTACTCTCTTATTGATTGATCTTCACAATTATCAGATATATTTTCTGCATTTTTATTTCAATAAAGTGTTAATAAATAAATCAAGATATAAAAAAACTTAGATTTTTAAAATATATTCATATTTTTATAAAAACTTAATAATTTGATGTAGATATAATCAGTAACAATATATGAGTTATACGTAATTATTTCATTGAGAATGTTTGAAGGTATAATTTTGCTTTCCAAAATTTTTTTATATTTTTATTTTTATATCTTGCTTTATTACTTATCACAAATCATTTAATGTTTGTTTAAACAGAAATATTTCTCTACTTAATCAGATTTGTAAATATAGGATAAAAAAAAAACATTCCGTACCTCTGTTTAGACTGCTTTATATTAGAACAGACTGAACACAGTTTATGACAACATTCTATTTCATGCATTCTTAATTAATTAGAAATTTCATTATGTTTGTATTTAATCAACAATGAACATTTTAAATTAGAAAAGTTGAAGTAGAATAAGTATTTGTTTTATCATTGATAAATCATGATAACCGTACAAGATCATCTTTAAAATATAAATTAATAATATAAAAAACCTGAAGATGAATGCGTTAAGCGTTCATCTTCAGAGAGAAATAACTGAAGATGGACGCTTAATGCATTTGAAAACGTTCTTATGTAATTAAAGATTTTTGCTGGACTTTTGAATGGTTTTTTTTTATATTATTAATTTTTAGTCTCCAATAAGCAAGTATATATTTATAAATTAATCACTGCATTTTTAACATTTTACTAACAGTTTGAAAAAAATAATAATAAAAAAGGTGGGAATATTAAAACTAAGTTTCTTTCATTTTTGCTTAAAAACATATGCTGGTAATTTTTTATTGTTGGAAAAATATTTGTAAAGTTCTAGAATTACAAAAAAAAAAGAATGATAATAAATAAATAAATATCATATAAAAGGTATTAAAAGAAATAACACAACATTTTTAATGAATTATATACTGATGAAATATTCAAGTATTCCGAATTATTCTACATCATAATTAAACAGTTTCTATAAAAGCATAGGTAATACACCTAGGGTTGTTTTATTTTTGAAATTTATCAACAAAATAAAGGTTATCAAATTTATATTTTTACTTCTGGATTTATAATATTTATTATTTTTTAGATACATATCATGTTTGATATACAGTACTGATAATTAAAATGAAGATTTTAAAAAATTAATTTCTAAATTTAAGTGTTTTAATTCCAATTTATAATTTTTTTTTAAATTAATTTATGTCTTAATGCTAAGCTATTGATTGTTTTGCTAGTTATATGAAATAACTCATAATTTAAAATTCTACAAGTTTCTTAATTTTCTGTAGATTTTTAACTTAAGTATGTCAAACAAAAAAAAGAAGTAAAATTCCTTAATTAGTCTCTGGTAGAGGAGGTCTGCTCCATAAATAAGCTTACATATCTTTCATCTTTCTACCCAACAAGAATATTGATACTAAAAGTGTTGTAAAATCATTTCTTAGCTTAATCGCTTTTTGTTTTGGATGTTTATCTAGCATAAATTGTGAATGTGCCTACATATTCGCTACTCTATATATAATGTAGCAAAATTATCGGATAAACATTTGATGATAATTCAATGAGCTGTAAAAATTCTAAATTTTCCTAAGTTCAAAGTGATCAATAATCTTGTTTTTTTGTTAGTGAATTACAAAGTAAGAATCTTAGGTCGTTGTCTCTTTTTTTTTAAGCCCTAGAAACAGATTTATAAAATGCAGGAGTGATATGTCAATTTAAAACATCTTTGTTAGATTAATTTTAGGCCTCTTGCACAACAGCATTCCTAAAGATTATCAAAAGTGTTCACGAAGCAGATGGAATGTTGCCATTGTTGAAAACGTGTTTAATAGTATATTTTACACGTGGTTTTAAATGACTGTAGATTAGTTACTTTAATACTGTCTGACCTAACAGCTTGCTCATTTCACCTCCCAGTAACAATTTTCAATTGACGTTAACATAAAACGTTTGTTATATATTTAAAAAAATATCGTAATATATATTACTTAAAAAATTATATACAAGGAAAGTTGTTCTTGAATAAATAGAAAATTGGATAATTAGGGCACCAACAAGGTAGTTAGATCTATTAATTTTATTGCTGATTTTTTATGGGGAAAAAATATATATATAAGATGTTATCACGATTTTGCTAAATGCATATAAATTATCAAATAATTGTATCTTTTTTGAATATTTTAAATTTGTAAGTCGTAACGGGTGTATAAAAACTTGAATTTTACTTTTAACGGTGACATAAAAAGAAAAAAAAAAGTTGCTATTGGCAATTATGGAATATTTCTGCTAATATGTTTCTATCACTTTTCAATAATTCACACTAAAATAATAATTGGCATATTAATTACCGTAGAAAGTTTAAAGTTAAATTAATTTTGAAAGGAACTCAAGCAGAAAAATACACATTAATGATTTTTATTATCGTCATTTCTTAAAATTGGGTGAGCCTTGAATTTTCGAGCAACCTTTGATGTGCTATGGATGTAATACAACGCGCCAAAATGGTAGGCGTTCACTGAACGTGACTCACGTTAGTCACGCGTCAAGCCGTCTGCACCGCTTCAATGAATGTCCGACGATATTTGTAGTTCTCTTTCGACTAGAAAACTAACTTTGTTTTGTTAGCTTTATACAGATATTTAAATCTAATCTCTTATTTCCAGAATGCGAAATAATAAACGGAGAAGGTGGGGCAAATATTTTAACGGTGAGTCACCGGATCATCAGTACTCACTTCGTATTGCGTTTTTACCTGAGGATTCCGAAACAACAATGATTGTAAAATAAAATTTTGCGACCGATTGATTAATTGGGACTTTAACGACATATATGGGTTTATATGAGATAATGCAACGTTTTGTCCTTCGTCGGACAGGTGATTAAACGGGTCGTGTCAAGGAGGATTAATATGACGCTGTTTGTGGGGGGGGAAAAAAAGAAAAAAACATTCTAGTTTTCGTCTATTCCAGGCTGAGTCAACAGTGATGTTTCGCTCCATTCGTGTTCTTGGTTGAATGAGTTCATCTTTTTTTTTTTTCTTCGCCTCACTCAGACTTTGTTCTGAGTTTAGATAAAACAGCTCGCGACCTCTGATCTCTAGATAAGTCTATCATATTTTATTCTCCTCTGACCTACCTGACTTTCACTAATCACATAAACCCAAAACAGAAGCTCTCCAGTTAGATCGTTGGTAAACATTCCACTATCTAATGTAACTTTGTATGTAGATTATTCTAAATAATCCGTACTTTGAATGCAGTCTTATATAATAAGATATATATATATATATACAATTTATGAATTTGAAAAAAAATAAAAATAAAATTAGGAGGAAACTGTTAAATCAAGAGATACTACAGCGAATATCTGCACGACGTGCAGATGTGGAATAATTAAAATTCCGATATTTCTTTTTATATCAATTAATTCTCGGCCGGCCACCAGATGGCACGGTCACGTAACCTCCAGGTGCAAACACCTGTTGCTGTCAGTACGCGACGATGAAGTACGACGGACAATCGCATATTCCATTACCCGTCAGGTGAGAACGAACCCACGCACCGATTCTGCATTTAACTAGTTCCAATGGAGATTTTTTTTTCTTGTTTCGTTACAGGACAAGCAATAGTCGCAAAACTAAAGACAAGAGTAAAGAAACATCTGATGACAAATCCGTCGGTGTTTTGGGTGCTATTGTTGTTACTGGCCACTTACTGAAAGTGGCAGATGACGATGATAATGAAAAACAGAAGGAATTGGACGCCGAGAAAGAAAAGTCCGATCCGGTGAAGGTAAGTTACGCTACGCACGATGTTCATCCGTGCAGATTCAAGGTCTAATGGTGCAGGTGTTTTTTTTTTTACACTTTGATATACTGTATTCCCCGTGGCTACGCTGGTACGGGATAGCTCGGTGAATCACCTTGTAATATATTTTGGAAAATAAATATTAGTTTCTATCATTTTCTAGTGTAGATATCAAAGTATTTACAATATACAATATGAATTTGATGTTTTTCTTATTCCGAAAATAAATTATATTGTGGATCATAATTTTCGTGGAATACGCTGTTTAATAATATCTGATTCTATATATATATTTAGATCATTAAACCCAGATGTATCTACTTCTTAATCAGTTCTAATAAGTTCCCGGAGGACTTAAAATAAATAAATTTACTATTTAATGAACTGGATTCATCCATAACTGGTTCTGTACAATGTTCATCGTGTTTGTTATCGTATCGCAGTCTCGTCTGGATCGTGTGACACACTCAAACATTCGCGTTATCGGATTATATATAAAATTCACGATATTTTTTTTTTATCCTCCGTGCTGCCGATGTACTGTTTGTTTAGACCACGGGGTTCGTTGAAACTTTTTTGTATGCGAATGTTTGTTATTGGACCGTTTCCAACTTCCAGAAGGAAGTCGATCTCCGTTTCTAATGCGAACTGGATCGTTACATATTCTACTTAAAATAATAGTCAAAATATAATTTGACGCTTATTATTTTGCGGAAGGAAGGAGAGATGGTTTTTTTTTTATATCATTCTCCGATAGTTTGTAAAGTTTGAGCTATGCCGATCAATTTAACAAGATGTAATTCTCGGAGATAAGACAACCCTGAAATGTTTTTAATTAGACTTTATTGCGACACCAATTCTTAAAAAATAATAGATGCTTACAGGTCTTCGTTTTACTCCAGAATGACGGAAAAGATTCGTTGGATAATTTTGTGTGTTCATTTTTTTGCGGAGATGTCGGTGAACGATTAGCAGCCACAACATTCTCTCTCTGTCTCTCTCTTTCATTCGGTCTCTTTTTTATTAATAGCTTGCTACTAGATACCCGACGCGATTTTCTAATTGCCGTTCACTTTGTTTTAAATAACTCACCAGTATTTATGAATAAAGCGGTGTAGAATGTAGCTCGGTATAGCACGAATTTAGTAATTCATCGCTCTGCTGGGCACCTGTTACACCCTGTCACATGTTTGTTGCATTTCACCCTAGAAGAGATCATTCACAAGACTTTCTTTATTGCAGGAACCGGCCGAACGACCACCCACCGATGGCGAACAGGAGAACGTGCAGGTGAGCTACTTTTTTTTTTTTTTTTTCAATAAACGTGAACCGGACGGGGTTATCCACGGCTCCATCAATAAAAACCAAAAGATATCAGTCGCGTGAACCCAATTCGCAGGAAAACAAACTGAAATAGATTTGGCAAACTCCCGCCGATTCTTTACCATCCTCTTACTCTCTCCCTCCGGTCGTACAGTAGGTACTTCCCACACACATTTCCTTAAACAGCGAGTTGGGAACTGGAGAACCAAGTAAAAACAACCAACAACGATGCGGTTAGGAAAAAAGGTAGGAATTTAATCTAAGATCGGACGGGTCGTCCATCCCGTCGATCCCAGACGGTCTTTTTTTTCTTTATGATTTTGAGTTGTGTCTGTAGAACACGGATGACCTGTTGATAAACTAGTCAGTCAGAGTACGCTTCCGGTATCGAAATCGAGGCCAGAAAAGCGTTCTTTTGTAACAGAGTAGGAATGTCCAGTGTGTTGTTTATGCCGTTGGAAAAAAGTAGTAGTAGCAATCAGCGGAAGACGAAAAGAACTAGTTCATCAGATGAATTTTTTTTTTCGTCAATCAAATCTGTTATCATTTTCGTTTCTCCATTCTTAATTTGTTTAAAAGTAAAGAAGATTGGTAGTTTCTAACAGCTCTTATCCGTTATCGTTTACATGTATGCTATTTTTTGTTTTTTGTTTGGCTACATAAATGTGCGTATGTTTTCTCACGTTTGCTAAGGCCCCTCGATAAATGACGTCCTTTCGTTTCGGGTCACGTTGCGAAATTCGAAATATTCGATGCGAAGAAGACGTCTTGAGAAATGGAAATTCAACCTCATTTTCTCTTCCTACCTCCATTACCATCGGCAAAATAGAAAACAGAATGTTGTGAAAACATATTACGGACAAGGTCAAAACCTGTTAATTAAAAACACGTTTCTAGTCGTAAGAAAAGTCGACTCGAGTTTGCTTGCAAGCCTAGAGGCAAAATATTGATATTGTCATTATATTTCATATTTCTGTAGTTAAAAGAAAACGATTTAATAGTGTTTTTTTTTGTTTTTTAATTTATAAAATATTATAATAGATTAGGTATTATATCAATTTCTTACTTTAATAGAAAGGATTATGAAATGAAATGATTGCTAGAACGTTTTACTTAATGAATGAATGAATGAATGATTCATTTGACGGTAATAGTTTAAAAAGTCAATCTTTCAATATTAATAACACAATAAAATAAATATGTTACTATTTTAAAAAATTTAGATGATGTAAACAAACAGTAGTGCACACAGGATTTAATTTAATTTTGAAGCCAAGTTGAATGAATGAATAAAAAAAAATTTTAATGTGAATTAAATAAAATTCCCATTTTATGTGACTGCTAATTTATAGTAAATACATAGAAGATACAACACAATATAAATAAAAAACGAATTTTAATTAGGAAAAGATTTTTGAAAAGTTTTCTAATTTTTTCCCCTTTTTTCTTTGGGGGGTGTAAGGATCCCTTGGTATACTCCTTTGTTTACAGTGGGTGCACTGCTGTAAACGAAAATATAGTATCTAGATTCTTTAATTTGAAAATTTTAAATTAATAATTGAAATTATTTTATTTACTAATTGTCAATTTCAATAAATTACAACTGATAATTTTCAGTTTATGTGTCTTTAAAAGAACGACATGAAATTTTTCAGTACTTTTATAAAGCTAATCAACAAATATGAACTTTTAAACTTTTTTTTTTAACTGTTAATATTTAAAAATTTATTAATATTTCTGATGATTTAATTTTGCTAATAAATGCAAATCCAACAAAACTGGATAAGACGAACAGAGCTGTACAGTAGGAAGAAATTTACAAACAAATGTTTTTAACTGCTTTAGCAGCCATAAACAGGTTCCAAACAAAAGAAACTCTAAAATAAGAATGTTATATTCTAAAACATAAGTATAAATTTAAACTAAAGGATATATAAAAAATTTGAAATGAACCAATAACATATATAACCAATTTCTGACAGCAGAATAAGACATTCTTGGTACTTGAATTGTCTTGTTCACTGTTGTGTAGCTCATAAGAATCACATCCAGGAAGTAGTCAAATACTTAGCCCAAGTTCATGGGAACAAGAACTTTTTGCAACCAAATTATTGTCAATTGTTGCATTTGTATACTCCTAGCTGTAGTCGAAAACCACTTTGGATTAATTTGAATTGAACCTAGTAGTAAAATTTTTTATGTATGTAAAAGCGATTTTACAAAAGAAAATAGAGCCTTACTGTAATATTCACATAGTATGGCTTAAAGATAAGAACAGAAAAAATACCAGAACCTGTTCAAAACAAAAAAAAAATAATTCAATATTGTGTGATTCAGATTTATACAGGTTTTGCTTAATAAACAACCAAGCCTAAATATTCAGTTCTGTAATAATAGGAGAATATGAGATTATTTCATGCAAGAGGAAGCAACCCTTTGATCTCTACTCTATATACATTGGAAATAGTATTTAGAGTAAATCCAATTAACACACAGAATTTAAGAAATAAACTTCATTATTCTGCAATATCTTTGAAATCGATGAATGGATTTCAATAAAATTTTGGAGCACATTGTATATGTAGTCTGCTCAGTTGCATGGAATTACATGCTTCCAAAAATGTATGAAAGTCAGTGGCACTTATTAATTATTACACACTTGGAATTACCTCATTCAGGGCTAAATCAAGCATTTAGGAGATCTGCAAAACAGACCCCTTTCCAAAACATCCCCTTAATCTTCTCCAACTATCTGCATTACATAGGTTCCGAACCTTGTTTTCTTTTATAACATAAAAGAATCTATCTAAAATTATTGGTGACAACTATGCTGTTTATGTAATACATGTGCAAAGATAATGCTGGAGTTATCCTGCCCTTCCCTATTGTCATATTATTTTGGCTATAGTTTGGCTAACTATCAAAAGTTAATGTGAAATAAAATATTATAAAGACAGGAAATTAGACTGCTATCTTGTACTACTATTAATAGTTACAATAATTTAAAAATTATTTATTTATTTATGCATACTGGTTTCATCCATGATGCAGGAATACAAACTTATACAGATTACAAAAATCAGTACGCAACAGTAAAAAACCGCAGTAATACTATAATTAATGAATTATTACAGAATATATATAAATAATACAAATTTTACAAAACCAACAATAAATAATAAATTAAATGAAATGTCAACATAATCAAAATCATGGGGAGAACTATCGGAAGAAAAAAAAAATAATAAATTATATATAAAATAACTACATTCACCTAAAAATAGAAGAAAAATTAATTATCACATCAAGACAATGGATAGTCACCCATATTCCTTAAACTCAAACACACATTTAAAGAAAAAAATAATGCTACCTATGTGCAGAACCAAATGATTCCAAATGCAAAGCAGAACAAAATCAAGTGCCAATCTATCCGAATGACAATTGAAACAAAATAATCGTCATAAAATTACCTAAAAAATAATTTAACTTTCTGGATTAAAAGATTAATCAAAGTTATGTAAATTACCAATAAGGTCCAAAATCTTTTAAAAGAAATAGTAGAAACACTAAAAATACTTTCACGTAATTTAAAAAATTAATACACTTAGCTATTACGTGATACACATCTAAAGACTGATCACCAATGTATGCAAATATCTCTGCAATAATTTGCAAAAAATTATGAGAATTACATTTTACTTGCATTAAAGTAGAACTAATATTAAAAGAAATATTATTATTTAATAATTCATCAAAATTAATACCATTATTGATAACCCCATACCTCAGAAGCATATAACAAAGACAAAGTAACAACTGGATTAAAAATCCTCAGACAATTGCTCATATTACATAACTTAGCTGATCTACACATCTGAATAACTTTATCAGTTTTAATATAAGCATTTCTTTTTGAAATCTGAATTAGGAGATATATTTCCATTACACTTAAATATTACAACCAGATATTTATATTGCAAAATTACTCGTGTTATATCATTTCTAAACCGCCATTAATCATATTTAGAAAATTTACCTCCATTATGATAAACAATGACTTTAGATTTTAAAAGATACAATCTCATATTATTTTCTAATAAATACTTATCCAAAATATTAATAAATCCCTGTAAATCTGTAACGGAATTGGCAATCAAAACAATGTCATCTGCATATGTCAATATTTTAACATTAGTACTGTTCACATCAATACCTTCATAATCAGAATTATTTATCCATTCAATTAAGTCATTTAAATATAAACTAAACAAAACAGGACTCAAAACACAACCTTGTCTAATGCTAGTAGCTGTAAAAAAAGATCAGGAGCAAAAATGGCCCCATTTGATTCTCTATATAATTCTGCAAGCAAAGAAACAAATTTCAAACTCAGACCATATTTTAAATTTTCTCCACATTAAATAAATTCTTATCTACAGTATCAAAAGCCAAAGACAAATCTACAAAAAAAGACATATACTTCATGCCTTTTTCTCATTAGCGTCTTAGTAATAAGAGTATGCAAAATGAAACATTATCTATGGTAGAATATTTTTCTCGAAAACCAGCCTGATTGTCAAATAAAATATCATGTAAATTTAACCAAGTTTAACCACTGACGGATTCATTATCGCCCAGAGCAAACCGCTGAACCTAAAAAGGTGAAATTTTGTACACAGTTAGGGTACGTCATGAAAACGCAAACTAAGAAGGGATTTTTTGAAATTCCCCTGTGGGGGGAGAGGGAAGGGATTAAGGCTTAACCTGAAGAATGGCTTCTACTGTACTATTTTAGATGCATATTTTTGTTTTTAACATTTAGTCTTCATTGAGTACTTAGGTGTATTAAATTGATAACATTTCATACATTGTTATAAATATTTTTATATATTTCAATTTTTTAATCAAATGTTCAAACCACTTTAAATTCAAATTTGTTATTGCATATTGGTTTGATTATAGAATGATTGTAAACGTTCCAGAAAATTGATCAAATTGAAAATAGTTTGTTTTATTCTCAGCAATTCTCATCATTCTCAGTGGTAGGTGTTATATAACAATTACTATGGTGGTTGAAATACTGAATATAAATGGGTTTGCTTGCAAAAGTCACAGATAACAGCTAGTATAATATAAGTAGACAGAGAGTCAGTTGCTCAGCTCTTAAATTTAGATTTATTTTATTACTGTCTTCTAACTTGAAAGCTATTTAATATTTTTAATGAATATTTGTTTAATTAATATAAAATGGATTTGTAACTATAAAGTTTAAAAAATGAAGTAAATAAAGCAAAATAATAATGCCATATTTAGTTTGAATTTAGTTAGCAATGTGGTGGAAAAATAATGCTGTTATGTATAAAAAAAGAAGTAAGCTAGAACTATTATTTTAAATGCATGTAATTTAATTGAAAAATTCATTTTATAGGAATAAAAAATTGCAATGAGTTAACATATGATAGACTTGACAGTCACTCTTAAAATAGTTCTTGAAATAATAACATTATATACAGAAAAAATGGAATTAATAAGAAATTTTTCAGATTTTCAGATACAAATTTAAATAGTAATAACAATTTCACCCTTATCTTTAATTATCATCATAAATTCTTTGTTAAAAGGCTGATTCTTTATTGTAAAGAGGAAGGATGAGGCTTTACAGATATAGTAAATTTTCACTCAAACAAACAATACACTGTGAGTTCTACAGAAAACAAGAAACAACAAAATTACATAAAGCTGTAACTCTTGCAGACAAAAACATTAAATCATTAAACCTATATATCACTCAACTGGATCTAGTACAGTATATAAAATGTACAGTACAGACACAGACACCATCAGGTAGTCTTGGGCTTGAAAGGCACTCTATAGTATGCACTCTAATGATCTCAGTCAGGATCAAGTTGACAAAACTGTGTCACACTGCCAGCTAAATGCGCTGTAATTGATGTATATGGAGGTGACGCACCCCAATCTTTTTAGATTGAGGTGGGTCACCTTCATATGCACGTGAAACAAAAGTATAATTTATTCAGTAATCATGTTTTTAAATGACATTTCAAATGTGTGTACTTAAGTGCATTGTAATGATGTAAAAGCATTAAAAAAAATTATTTTTATATATTAAAATTGTTTCAATATAAATTCTCCTAATTTTTTTAAATTTAATGAAAATTTAGTTTCCAACTACTGTATCTTACAGAAAATACAAGAGGTAGGCATCTGCTTATATCTTGTATTTTCTCTAGTATTACATCTCTACAATGCACTCAAATACACAAATTGAAATGTGAATTTACAAACATGATTACTGATTTAAATTATATTTTTGTTCTTGTTCTTTTTGAGATTAGGGTGTATTTACATACACACACCTAAAACGTCATGTCTAGTTGATATTATTGATTATTAAATTCTACATTTGGTTATGTTTTTGAATTTTGAGATGGGAAGGATGATGATGAAGGTACTCCTAAAACATTATTAAAATGCATTGTCATCTGACTTGTATGTCTTCTATCATAATAAGAAGTAGATGAAATCTAAATTCACAATTTCAGTATGTAAAGTACTAAGTTATTTTTTCGCCTTTTACAACGATTATCGACACAAACTGTATGCCGGAAATAGCTGTTACCTAACGGGTACTTTACACGGATTCACGTTAATCTGCCAGGCCTGAACTTTAAGCGTGCACCGAAAGAAATAATGACAAAGTTAGTCAAAAAACAATCCAATATTTAATAATAATTCTAGTAGTAACTATGTACAAAATTTAGCAACAATCAAACAACAATTTATTCAAAGAAAATCAACAATAAGAATCAACCCAACAACACTCAAATCAATCTATTTGCTAACTTAAATCTATTCCCCTTTGGAATTCAACAAAAATTTCAAAGACTTAATCTGTGTACAATAAGTCTTATGAACTAAGGTCCTAATTGTCACCTCAATATACTAGGAATCTTTTTCCTCAACTCTCAAGACTTTCTCCAATCTTTGATCCACAAATCAAATAACTTCAAAACGCCTTGGAACAACTTTATTGCTATCGGACACCTCTCTTGTTCGCTGCTACGAAGCTCACCATGCTCGTTGTTAACAGAAGCTCACCTTGTTCATCTTCGCTTGAGGTATGGCTTTATACTATGAGGTGATGTCACAATTTTAAGTGAAACCACTCCCCTCATTTACATACTTATCACTAACAGTAAACTTTTTCCTTTTTGCCTGGCAGCCTATTTCCCGACAACACTCGCTATCCTTTTACATTATCCTTTTTGACAATATTTTGGGATGTTTCATTCATTAAGGATTAGCTAGTTCTTGAGTAGTGCTTGTGTGGTCTCTCCCCCCTCTTCAGTGTGGACTTACTTTTTTTTTTCCACTCGGGAGTGCAAGTGTGTGCGAGTTTTTTTTTTTCGTATGGCGCTTCTTATCATTGGTGAGTTGATTTTTGTTTCTTCTGTTTTTAAGTTTCTAAGGTGAGTGGTGAGGAAACCCTCGTCCTAACAAAACATAAGCCCCAAACAAAATAGAATAAAAAGCAAAATAAAAAGTAACTAAAAATAATGCTTGGACTTGGTTCCTTACAAGTATTTGATACAAATAAAGTTAAATAAAAGCATTTAATAAAAAATAGTAGTAAGGTTAGGTTTATCTTGCTTTCTTCATAAAATGTTTATTTTGTTTTGATATTCAGTTTAATATTTTATACTTCTATTTGGACATATAGTTTATTTTTTTATGTCATTATATGCAAATTGATTTCTACTGTTGGCAAGTTGCACAAGAAAAATGATTACTTATATCTTTCAGATAAAAGTGTAAATATGTCTTTGTTTTATTTGTTCATTTAATTTTGAGATTCAAAATCTACGTATGGCTAGATGACATGCTGATATTTTTTAAGTTACTCAGGATCTAAACATTTGCAATTCAAACTGTTCACATTTCTTGTTCCTCACTTCTATATTATTTTTTGTTAGCAGATTGTTTGATTTGATTTGATTTTAGCTTAACAGAAAATATTTAGTTTATTAATTTGACATGTTTTAGATTTTCACACATTGCTCTAAAGATCTATTTAAGTATAATTATAGTAATCGTAGGCAATTATTCTTATATTTATTTATACATCACTTATAATAGAAGTGGGAATCCTTCTTTAACCGGAAGGACTATTTCAGAAGGAACTTGTAAGTGATTAACATATTGCAGATTGCATAAGCATTTAATATCTATGCACCAATCTATATAAATAAAAATGTAAATGTTCGTTTGTTAAAAATCTTAAATCTCCAAAAGTTCTTAACTGATTGCTTTGAAATTTTGACACAACATTGCATTTGAATATACGTGTTTTTATATTATACAGATGTCAAAATCCCCCCGCAGGGGAGAGGGACATGATTAAGGCTTACCGTGAAGAACTCTGCTTCTATTATATTATTTTAGATACGGTTTTTTGCGTTTTTGATTGTGTTTTAATAGGGTATGTCAAGAGAATGTACAGTAAGAAGGGATTTTTTGAAATCCTCTCCCGCGGGGATTGTTATACATTTATAATAGATACATTTTGAGCCACAGCAACATATGGCCGGGTACAGCTAGTAATACATATCAATTGCACTTAGTTGTTTTTATTGAGAGAGAAAGAGAACTGAAAACAAATTTTGATAATAAATAAATTTAATTTTTCTGCCACAAATTTTATCTTATCAGGCTGTGCTAGAAGTCATGAGTGGCTGCAGGTTTCCTGAAACCTGATGTATAAGAATGATAATGCAATTATGTATATTGTTAATACATATTTTGAAGAGAATAAAAGATTGCATTTTCAAACAATAGATAAAATATGAGTGCATTAATTATCTGTATTTAAGTGTTAAATCTATGATATGAAAATACTGTTCTAGTTATTTGTCTAGACATTTTTAAACATTAGTAAACTGTCTAGGAATAAAAATCCTTCTGGTGAATTTCACAGTATGGGTTTTTATTAGCAATGCCATTGACATTAAAATCATACAATTACTTGTTTAAACCAAATAAGTTCAGGAAAATTTAATGACATTTAATTCACATAAGACTATAAATGAATTAATTCATAATCTTATGTAGAGATGGATGCAATTATCAAAATATTTTTGAGATAGTAATACATTTATCTCTAATTGAAATTTTTTAATAAATTAATTTATAGTATTAGATTAGGTTTGAAAAATTCAATGCTATTTGTATAGGTATTTAGTTTAAGAATTCTGAGTAGAATTAGTTTTTATATTTGAAATATTATTCAATAGATTATATGATAGTGTATTTTTAGTAAATGTTAAATTTGTAATTTTTATTTTGAATGTAATAATTTTTTTGTTTTTTTCTATTTAAAGAAAGATGGGTTGAAACAACAATTGGAAAAGGAAAAAATGCTTCGTTCTGAAGCAGAAGCACAACTTAGAGAGGTTCATTTGGAATGTGAAAGATGTAAAGTTCGCTTAAAAAGTTTACAAGATGATTTCAAAAAGTAAGAACTCTGATATTAAATATTCTTAAAATACATTTCATTGGAAGAAATTTTCTTATAAAGATTATTTTAATTTTGATTAAAATTTTATATATAAATATTCATCTAAATATTAAAATTTAATCTCTAATTACCAAATAACATATGGAAATTTGTACATTTATTTAATTTATTACTTTCAAGAATGGAAGAAATGGTATGCAATATGTTACAATTCAAGTCTCGTATAGAGCAACTTAAACATGAAAAATCATCAATTTCTTTAGCTTATGAGGTAAGTTCTGAGAAGATATCTTTAAATAAAATTGTAATGATAACTCTAATGAAATGAAATATGTCTAGGTTATTTAGAAATTAATTTTAATTACCAACAGTAAAACTTAGATAAAATGGTATTTTTATAATATAAAGTTGTTCTGAATTATAATTGAAATTTAAAATTTAAATTGAGAAAGAATAAAAATATTTCAAAATATAAATATAAATTTTCTTGAATGCTATCATTAATAAATTAAAACTAAAATAAAAACTAAGTAATTTATCTAATATAATACAGCTGTTTTCACTTCGTTGACTGACTGAATCATTCACTCACTGTCATGAAATGTTTACTAGATGCAGACTTTTTACAGAAAAATGAAATAATGCATTCAAAAAATAATACTTTGTACATTACAAAAAAATCTGAAATTTCAAAAAATTTGTAGACATTAGTAATACAAGATGTCAAGGTTCAATTCTCAATATCTCATACACAGTACACCATCTGTTGGATGATTAACTTAAATGCCACCTGCTTATTTTAATTTGCTCCACATTATTTTAAATAACAGCATTTTCATTTTGTCTTATTTGAATATTCTTTATTGTATTTTTAGAATATTTATTATAGTTATTTAATTAATATATATAATTATTGAAAAAAGGTGACCATGGTTTAAATATCAATTACATTGGTTAATAATCAACCAATTTCTTTGATTGTTATGTTCAGTTGTGTACAAACATTGAAAATTTTCCTTTTATTTTTTTTTTTTTTTTGTCATTTTGCAATTTCACTGCCTAACATCTCAGTCAGTGTAGTAGTAACCGTATAACATAAACATAAAGCATCATGTATGTTGTGGTATGTTTGAGTTTAAATCAGTTCTAACAGTGCAACAACAATATTGACTTACTTATGATCAAGATACACCTATAAACAAGACCATAATTCTATATTATTTCATTTTCATATGATTCATAATGATTTAATCAGCTTAAAGAAACTAGAAGTATGCACATTAAGAAATTGCCAGGCTAACATCCTGTTGATACATCAGAAGAAAATGTGGACCATATGAAACAATCATGTATGTGTAACCCAAAGAAATTGCAACTTGAACTTGGTATTCTTAAAATGACTATAAAAAATCATTCATAAACATTTGAAATTGCATACCTGCAAAATCCAGCTCAAAGATGAAATCAAACCTGACAAACCTTTCAGACATGTTGTATTCATGATGAGTAAAATTGACTGTGATGATAGTCTCTTCAAGCACATTATGTTTAGTGATGAAGCAACTTTTCACGTAAATGGATGTGTCAATTATCACAACTATAAAATCTGGGTATGAACAACCAAATGAAATTTTTTAATGCATTTACAATCCTCCCAAGATAAATGTGTGATGTGAATTAATGCACATAATTATGTGGTGGCTCCGTGTGTTTGTTAAAGAACAATTACAGGCAATGGTTATTTGGATATGATGGAACTTGTGTTTTTTTCTCAGATTTATGATGATGGAAAGGTAAGATGATGCACCACCCATCACAATTGCAATGTTTCAGATGCACTCAATGATAGGTTTCCTTGTCACTTGATTGGGAAAGGTAGTTATGTTTCCTGTCTGGTAAGAAGTCCTGATCTGACTTTTCTAGACTTTTTCGTATGGAGCTATATCAAGAATATAGTCTATGCAGAGAAGATTTGTGATCTACAACACAAGAGACAAGATCATTGGTTGTATAGCATCTGTCACACCTGAAATAATTAAGTGCACCTGGTGGAGATCAACTGTTGCTTAAATATTTGTTGAGCAGCAAGGTGTGCTCACATTGAAACATACTAAAATATGAAAAACTCTTGAAGATTTTCAGTATGCAATAAATCACCAAACGATCGCCTAAATATTGGGCTATAATATGGCTAATTAAATGATTGGTATAAAGTAATTTGACACTAGAGGTAGACGTTAGTCGCCATCTCTTAAGTAAATTAATAATTATAATTAAATAAATTATTAAATAAATTTAGAACCTTCTAGAATAAAAGAACTGGCCCGAGACAGGGCTCGAATCTGCAACTTCCGCTTGCCGTGCTGTGCATAACTGGCAAGCACACTGCATGGCACAGCAGCGGGTTTGAGCCCTATCTCGGGCCAGTTCTTTTATTCCAGAAGGTTCTAAATTTATTTAATAATTTATTTATTTAATTATAATTATTAATTTACTTAAGAGATGGCACCTAACGTCTACCTCTAGTGTCAAATTACTTTATACCAATCATTTAATTAGCCATATTATAGCCCGATATTTAGGTGATTGTTTGGTGATTTACTCAGGCTTTGCGATGTTATTATTTATAGATTTTCAGTATGTTTTGATATGTAAGAAAATGCTTTGTTTTTAATTAAATGCATTGTTATTTAATCACAGAATTTCAGACATCTTTTTTGACAACAATGTATATGATATACTTATGTATTGATATATTGTAGGCCCATTCCCAACTGCCTTCAGGAGTCGAATCCTTATGTTTTTCATTGCTCTCATATCTATGTTGCAATTTATAATTTTTTAAACTTGAATAACTAAATATAATATTTTAAAAATTAATAAAGAGTAATTGAATAAGACAAAATGAAAATTCTGTTATTTAAAACTACATAATGCAGATTAATAAAAAAATTTTTTTAAATAAGCAGGTGGCATTAAATTAATCATTTGACAGATGGTATGACTGTCTAAAACAGTTAGAATCAAACTTTGATATTTTTTAGAGCCTAAAATATTTGAAATTTTTGAGATTTCAGATTTTTCTGGTAATATACTTGATGTCCTCTTTCAAATGCATTGTTTTATTCTTTTGTAAGAAGTGTACTGCTTTTAACTAAAGATTTCATGTCAGTGAGTGAGTGAGTTGTCAGTTAGTGAAAACCATGTAGCTTTATTTTATCAATATAACAAGTAGTTATAAATTAATGTCAATATTATATATATACTAGCTGCAAGGACCCGCTTCGCTGGGCAAAAAGTATCGATAGTGAAGATTAAGATAATTACATTATAGCTAATCTTACCTGTTTTCACAGAATGCAAGAATTAGGTCCCCCGTTTCCAGACTAATTAGAGAATTTTTACGTTTAGTCAAACGAACTATTTTCAACGTTTCTGGAACGTTTACAATCGTTCTATAATCGAACCAATATTCGAATTTTATGTTCGAATTTAATTTGAACAAATTCGAACAAAACATTCGAAATAGAAAGCCA